GCTTTCTGAGAATTTGGTAATTATGTGTTTTATCAATATGAAGTATTTAGAATTAGAAAATATTTTCAATTTTAAGACTGTTATTTTAAATGTAAAGATTTTTTATTTATTTTAATTTTTTTATTATTGATGGGGGAGGGAGGTCGTGTGCCATAGCACATGTGTGGAGGTCAGAGGGCAATTTTGTGCAGTCAGTTCAAATTCTGACTACCTTTATATGAGTTCCAGGGTTTGAACTCAGTTGTCAGGCCCACACAGCAAATGCTCTCACCACCAAGCCATCTAGCCAGCCTTAAGACTTTTTATTTTCAGTTCTAAAACCATGATGGCCTCACTCATAAGCCCTGGGGACATACTTTTGCTGGTTTATTAGCAGGTTAGTTCCTAGATTGTTACTTGTCTCCAACTCTGTTAAGATCTCAGCCTGACTCCCTGTTAGAATGTTCCTCAGGGATTTGGGTTAGTGGGTAAGAGGCTGGCACAAGCATTTGATCAACTCCCTAGCTGATTCTAACATGCAGCTAGGGTGGAGGACCACTGTCTGAAGAACATCTTAGATGGTTAGTGCAACTTGGGCATTTCCTATTCACCCCTGCGCTCCCATCCCCATCACCCAATAAAGTAGATGCTGCTTACTGTGTGCCTGTGTGCAGGCATGAACTGGGTACAGCAGAGGCATCTGTAACATCATCCCCCATTCCCCATGGGCAGCAGGCTGAGAAGCGTGCATTAGGAAGTCATGAGGATGAGACTTAATCCAGTTCCTGCTCTTAAACTGTGACAGTCTCCATCCAGGCAGTACAGGTCCACAATGGTCTGCTTTAAGCCCGAAGAAGCAGGGACATCTCCCTCTCCCAACCCCCAACCCTCAGAGAGTAGAGAGAGCCAGGAAACTGATGCACTTGTAGTTTATGCCATCCTTTCTGGGTGGCCTTTCTGCTCTGGACTCTTGTTCTGGGTTCCTGGCACAGCATCCTCAAGGTTTCATGACTTGAATGTGGGGTTTTTGTTTTTGTTTTTTTTCCGTTTGTAAATCAGTGTAGTTCCTTTAAATCCATTCTAGTTTTACTTTAAAGTAGCTTTAAATTTTGATTTTAAAGTTGTTTTAATTTTTTCAGGCATTGTAAAATCTGTAAGTTGATGTGTGTGTTTCAATAACTCCTTTTGTTCTTTGAGTAAAGAATAGTTACAAGATACTGAAGATATAAACTGCAGATCCAGCAATAGGTAGGGGACTTCAGTGAAAGGCAGGACTCTCAGCATTCAGGTGAGGAGGCTGTTCACCATGTGACCATGGGCTAGTCACTGGGAATGGAAATGATGGCGATGTGGTGTGACAGTGATGATGGTGATGATATTGGTGGAAATGACATCTCACGTGGTGGTTGTGAGGGTTGAATGAGGACAGGTGGGCCCTGGAAAACTGACCCAGTACTCTATGCCGGGTCTCCTGGAGGTGAATGTTGCAGAGCGGTTTCAGAGCCAAGCTCTGCTGCTAAATTGTGCGGGGGGTGGGGGGGGATGAGGAAGGGCAGAGTGGGAAGATCATGGCCCTCCCCAACCATGAGAGAGGCAACAAGAGGCCAACTGGTATTCCTGTTGCACACGCAAGGGACACCAGGGCTGGAGCTCAGTGGAGTGGCCTGTTTTCAGAATGACTCATCCATATTTATTATTAAATTAAGGAAACAGAGGAAATTGTCAGACTATAAAGGAGATGTGAAGGAAAGGAACCTAGGAAAGAATTAGAAAAGTAATGCTAATAAGAAGTGGAAGATTCCCAGGGAGAAGCTGGGCAGGGGTCACAAGCAGGGTGGTTTTAGTCCTCGGCCACCCTTTATCAGAGAAGAGTTCTTTATATTGACATTCCCCTCATCAAGTTGCTAATTTAATTTCCACTTCCTGACTGAGCCCAACTCACACTGGATGCTCTCAATGGGTAAAGCAGTTCGTGACAAAGGAAATGTGCTGTCCCTGGTTGTCTGCACCATTGCTGCTGTGTCTGGCTACAGCCAGGTCTGGGGCAAATACTTGGAAAACTGATGTCTTGGGGAAACTGCAGGCTTTACCTCTGGTGGTCCATTTCTTCCTGACACCCCACCTGCCCTGAAGGTAGCAGCCTCCAGTGGCACCTCACTCTGAGCCCAGCTGCCCATGGTCTTAGTCTGCAGATGTCTGGATCAGATCCAGCCTCCACGACAGTATAATGGCCACATCAGGCAAGTCCATCTTCTATTTCTCTGGAAAGATAAAATTGTCCTGGCCCGAGGTTCTCAAATTTTAAGATGAATCAGGTCATCAGGAAACCATATTAAAACACAAAATTGCAGTCTAGGGAGATAGCATGGTCTGTAAAGTGCATGCTGTGTCTGCATGAAGGCCTGAATTTGGATCCCCAGCACCCACATACAAAATCTAGGTATGGCAGCACATGCCTGTAATCCCAGTGCTTGGGAGGCAGAGACAGGAGGATCCCTAGGTTCACTGGCCGGTTAGTCTAGCTGAATTCCTGAGCTCAGGTTCAAGGAGAGACCCTGTTTCCAAGGGCTGGAGAAATTGTTCAGTGGTTAAGAGCACTGTCTGCTCTTGCTGAGGACCTGGGGGTTCCATTCCTACATGATGGCTAATAACCATCCTCTTCGGGCCTCTGAAAATTACATGTGTAGGTGCACTTACCATTCAGGGAAAACGCACATACACGTAAAATTAAATACATAAAATTTAAAAAGGTGTAGCCAAGTCACGCACGTCTTTGATCCCAGAACTTCGAGGCAGAGGCAGGGGAATCTCTGTGAGATGAAGGTCAGCCTAGTCTACATAGGGAGTTCCAGGTCAGCTGGGACTACAGGAAAATCCTATCTTAACAAAATGTGTAGAGCAATTGAGACCTGACATCGACTTCTGGCCCTCACATACACCCTCACACACATGTGCACTTAGTAACCCTCAGAGTGCTGGACCCTTCTTTCAGAACTTCTAGTCCCATAGGTTTAGGTGGGATGGGGGTGGGGATCACAAACTTGCGTTTATAACAAGTGTTCTAGTTTGTTTCTTCATTGCTGTGACAAAACACTGACTGATACCAACTTGGGGAGGAAAGGGTTTATTTGTCTTACATCTCCCAGATCACAGATCATCAAGGAGCCCAAGGCAGAAACTCAGGACAGGAACCTGAAGGCAGGAGCTGAAGCACAGGCCATGGAGGAATGCTGCTTACTGGCTTGCTCCCCTGGCCCATGCTCACCCTGGTTTCTTATATAATACAGAACAACCTGCCCAGGGGTGGCCCTACCCACAGTGGGCTAGGCCCTCCCACATCACTCAGAAATCAACATACCCCCACAGACATGGCCACAGGCTCGTCCAATGGAGGCAGTTCCCCAACTGAGGCTCCCTCTCCCCAGTTGTGTCAAGTTGACAACTGAAGTTTCTATCATCTATTCCACTGCTACTGGTCTGGGATCATAGTTTGAGAACCACTGGACTAGATGATTCCTAAGATGAACATTAGAGGACAAAACTAAAACTGTACAGTGCTGGATGCATTTATTTCTACCAACAGGAAAAAGGTGAAGGAGGTAGCTATAGGCCAAAAAGAAATAAAAACTCAATATTTTTCACTAGGCTCATGGTGTGTGAATATACTAAGCAACTTTTTACTTCATCATAAAGGCAGTAACAATGCACCATCATTTTCTAGATTTTCCTTGTATATGCATTTGTGTTTTTTGCCACCTGTGCAGTATTAATTCCCAAATCTCCATGCTAGGCTGGACTCCTGAGATACTGCTCTGTTTTTCTAAGTTTTATTTATTGTTGGTTTTTATTTTATATGTATGAGTGTTTTACCTGCATGTATGTAAGTGCACCAAATGTGTGTAATGCTTGCAGAGGCCAGAAGAGGGTGGCAGATCCCCTGGAACAGGAGTTATGAATGGTTGTTAGCTACCATATGGGTGCTAGAAGCCAAACCTGTATCTTTTGCAAGAGCTGTGAGTGCTCTTAGCTACTGAGCCATCTCTCCAGCCCCAATACTGCTCTGTTGTTCCACTAACATCTGGATACCCCTCTGTTCAGCATCTTACTTGGTTTCAGATGTGAGTTCCCCTCTCCTATCAAGTAAATGGAACCAGGGTTCCTATCACAGTGTAACCCAAAAAAGCTCAGGAGTCACCTGCCTCCTGCCTCTCCTTCCTACTCTCCACACCCTAGGACTGAAGCCCCAACATACCTCTCCCAGCCTTCTCTCCACCCCCCTCACTCAGCGGGGCCCAAGTTCCAGAGGCAGCCTCTCCCTTAGCTTGATGCTGCTCAAAGGGCACCTGAGTTAAGAAACTTGGTTCATGGTTTAAGATACCCAGGAAGAACCACTCTGCTGGTCACTCAGGAGACAGCAAGACAAGTGGCTGGGGGGAGTGGGGAGAGGGGTCCTGCCTTCACTGTCCTCTTAGTCCCATAGGGACACGGGCACTAAATAAGTGGCTGTGAATGAAGACATCTCTGTGTGTGCTGCAGGGATGAGTGTAGGCCCCTTGCTGGCCTTCCTGTCTCTGTCCTGTCTCTGTTTTCTTTCACAGGTGGCAAGCACCACCTCTCCCAAGTGTGAGTCTGTGTTTCTTCTCCACTAAATCCTTCCATAACTGCCTTTGGTTTCCTGGGTGACTGGGCTCTGGGTGTAGCCAAGAAGCATTTTTCCCCAGCTCACTCTGTGCCATCCTGCCTGTTCTCTTGTTGTGACACCCTCAGCATCTTT